TGTATGTCCTTCGCTACCGAAGGAGAAGTTCTTCCGGAGAACTCAGTATATCGAGTAAAACTACTTGTTAGTAGATGAATTCTGTTGGCTCTTTTGTATGGAAGGCAACATTCGTCAATGTGCTGAAACGCTGCACAGTGGGTCGAGTCAATAGGAGAGGTAAGACAAATTTTAGACACTTTAAACGCTTTTAACTCTATTTTTACAAGACTTTGAAGTTCTGAAAGTGGTTTCATTGGTTTCCTCGTGAAATTTCCCCAAGGAGCATCCCTCCAAGTTTAAAACGTGACGGAATAAACATAAAAATTTGCAATTTTAGTCAAAATTTTCATGTCCGACCTCTCTGAATAGCTCGATTCACTGTGCGCCGGCCAATCAAATGCCCTAAAACGGACTCAGGTGCAGTAGCAACTTATCCCGAGTACATTTGCATCACATTAACTAGAATCAGTCAAACTACATACTTAACATACCTAGTGGACAAGTATGACAGGCAAATGAGTATGAAAACGAGGGAGACACTCAGTTAGCCTTCAATTCAAGAGATATGCAATTTGTGCCACGCAGGAGTTAAAATAGTTGTATCACTTGATTGGGTCCCTCAGCGCGAATATCAGATTAAGCTTTAAATGCCAGGTTGTCCCATGGAGAGGACGATATGGATGGATTTATCTAGAATCATCCTAACCACATCTCACGTTGCATAATTTTCAATCATTTTTTATTTATTTTGAAGAGATGTTTAATTTGTGCTACGCAGGAGTTAAAATAGTTGTACCGCCTAGTTGAGTCCCTCAGCGCGCACTTCAACGAACATCAGATTAAAAGCTTTAAATGCCGGTTTGCCGCCTGGAAAAGACGATATGGATGGATTTATCTAGAATGATCCTAACTACATCGCACGTTATATAATTTTCTATCGTTTTTTATTTATTTTAACAGATTGCTTCAAAAAACATGGGGGGAAAACGCCTCGAAACTTTCCGTGTTTTTCCCCAAAATGGACCACTAGACAAGGTACGAATTTCAGCATTCTGATACATGTTTCTTCACTAAAATTTCACGTAAAATACGACGCGCACAACGAAAATTACCGAAATCAACTCCTTCCAAAGATATTTAAGGATTCTTGATGCGTGAATTCAAACCACCCGCTCATGAAAACTAAATGCTCTGCGTGATCCACATCGTGCGCTAAACGTTATCATGACAATCTCTGCTATATAAAAATCTGGCAACCTCAATCTTGACGGTTTGGTTCAGCTGTAGCAAATTGCTTATGGTTTGAATAACACATGGTGGGAAACAGGGCCGGATTTACTTACTTGCCGCCCATTGGCCGCCTGTATTTTGCCGCCCCCTTCTCATTCGTTTTGAAACACCAATAAAAACCATCAGGTGAACGCGCCGGAGGGGGAGGGGTGTATAAGACGCGTTTACTCGTGTTGGTCACATTTTTTGCGAAAGCCCTGTCAGCACTACTAGCAAAAGTTCGCGGAACATGGCGCGAAAGTTAAGTTCCGTAAACCTATCTCTGTATGGACAAGGCCTTCCATTAATAAGAAATGAACGAAAAAATTATGAAAGAACAAACATAAATGTGGTTCAATAATTTTAACTTCCGCCGCCGCGCCGCGCTGACCGCACTGTGTTTGGCGCAATGCGTGAAGTATTCCTACAGTCTTACCTTACATGCGCTATGCGTTTCGAGCCGACCGCTGCTACACGCACTGTGTTTGACGCAATGCGTGAAGTGTTCATGCAGTCTTGTAGGCGCTATGCGTTTCACACTGCCCGCTGCTGACCGCAGCGACCACATCGTCTTTGACGCAATGCGTGAAGTATTCATGCAGTCTTGTAGGCGCTAAAATGTGTTACATACCGACCGCCGCGCCGAGGGTTTCTCCTTTCTCCTTTCCATCTCACGTTCTCGTCATCATTGCTCTCTGCGCCGCGCCGCGCGCCGTTCCAGGCCAAATTCTGTGTTCGGTTTCTCTCTTAGTCTTAACTCGACTTATTAAAGGTGATGTCTATTGCATCACAGAAGGACGACAAAATCAGAGATATACTCTCAGAAAATGAGAGATTTTGTCACCTTTTCTCGTTCGTCATTTTTTTTCTGAATCCAATTTTTCTTTATAGCTACATTTAAAAAAAATTCAAAATTTGCTGCCCCCTAAATTTGCCGCCATAGGCCGCGGCCCATGTGCCCCCCCCCTTAATCCGGCCCCTGAACATTACTCGATTGAGAAGCTTGTTGAAACCGTTGTGATGCGCAATTTGACTCACGTAGAGCTTAGAGTTTCTTGTCAGCGGGCAGTTCAACTTCCTCGTAACCAATGTGAAATAAAAACGTTAATGTCTTCGTTTGGAGTTTGTTTCATTAGTTTTCGTTGCGCGAATCGTGCTCTACGTGAAATTCTGGTTAAGAAACATGTATCAGAATGCTTAAATTCGAACCTTGTCTAGTGGTCCATTATGAAGAATATACTTAGGCATTTCAAGCTAGACTGTTGCTTTTCTTTCTATCAAAAGAATAAAATTAGAGTGGATATAAGGCTACGCTTGATGCGATTACTGATTAAAGGCTGGCTCTGGTTGAGTCCGTTTACTTCGTCACCCTCTTGACATAAAGACGTAACTACAATTTTGTCCTGTCGTCCATACAACTCAATGCTTTCCCAGGATCATCTCTTTAAGTAGTTTCGGCTTTCTGTCCGCCAAGTTACGATTTATGGAAATTGGATCCAAGACTTTTAAGTTTTTTGTTATCAGGAAAATATTTTTAAAGTTTTCATGCTCAATCCTTAAAATGGTTCATCTATGATGCACCCTCGCACCTTTTTTTGACATTGAAATGAACTAAATCGCTTACACTTTTCTTTTATGAGATACTAGTTTTTGTCCTCGATCAAGGGCTCTGATGACGAACTGAGGAAAATTTCCTCCTTTTAAAACTTTTCTTTCCTGAAAACCAGAGAACTTATTTCCTGGACGATAAAGTAAATATTTTGACGGAAAAGCTCGAGGGATTGATGTGGGCATGGAGGATAAGACGCACAAGTTCAGCTTTTGAAAAAATTGAGATATTCATGAACTCAACTAAAACTAGTTTGATTTTGTTATCTGTGAAAAATTCACAGCTAAAATCCAACTTTAAAGCATGAAAAAGTCAGCTTCAACTTCCTCTCTGCCATAAGGCTCCATGTAATTTCGAAACTTTAAGCTTGCATTTTTTGAAATAGCAAAAACTGCACTTATGTGCCTTGTCCTCCAAACCCACCAATTGAATCGGCTCGTACGAAAACCGCTAACGTTCATCTTTTTCAATTTTGAGATTTTTGGGTTCAAATACGAGGTCAGACACACTCATTAATGTGGTGAAAATATTAATTCTGCTTTCAATTCAAGCTGGAGTCAGAATAGTACAAAATTTCATCATTCTTGTGTGCTCATGTAATGGAAGGAAAGGAAACGAGGTGACCTAGAAAAAGAAAAAAAAATCTTGTCTATCGTTTAATCATTTCATTTTTCTTAGAAGCATAAATAAAATATGTAAAAACTATCTAAAAATAAATTAGCAAGATTTTATAAAAAATGTATATCTCATAAAATGGCAGCTATTGCAAAATATAAAAAAGGGTCTGCAGCAAATTGATGATAATACAGAAATGCAGCAGATAAGGCTAAAGCTAGGGGAGTTGTACTTATACTTGTTTACTGATTTTGCTAGAAAACGGACGGTCTTGTTGTTATCGTACAGAGGTAGTAATTAGCATCGAGATAATCGGAAATCAGTTGAGAGTGAAACCTGTGCAAACAGGATAAAATAGATCATAATTCGTATGATTCAATCTGCCTTAAAACTTCGTAAGACATGCACGCACCTGAACAATGAAATTACAAACCTTCTTCGTGTGTACTTTTTATACAGATAACAAAAAAATATGACCTCTTGTAGAGGCGCCATTTTTACTCGTAACAAAATAAATACTTAAGCTTAAAATTATAAAATGTAAATATAAAACGCAGTTTTAGCAATATTGCAATTAGAGCAGTCCAGCGCAGCGGTGTCAATGACACTTGAATGAAGAATTGCCGTATCTCTTTCAAAATACAAATATTCCCAGAGAATACGCGAAAAAATCGCATATCGTGTAAATTGACAACTATTATCAAATTGACAACTCTGGATTTGGTCAATTCAAATTCATATAAAACAATCGATGTTTCATCAAAGCTTCACTCAGATTCGATTCTTTCAATGGACCTGAATGGAGCAAATACAATTTTGCCAATGGACCACTAGACAAGGTACGAATTTAAGCAATCTGATACATGTTTCCTAACCAGAATTTCACGTAGAAGACGACTCGCGCAACAAAAATTACTGTAACCAACTCCTAACGAAGATATTAACGTTTTTATTTCACATTGGTCACGAGGAAATTGAACTGCCCGCTCACAAGAAACTCAAAGCTCTACGTGAGTCAAATCGCGCACTACAACGGCTTCAGCAAGCTTCTCAATCGAGCAATGTTCATTTGTCACCATGTGTTGTTTAAACTATAAGCAATTTGCTACAACTGAGTCAAAGCGTCAAGATTGAGGTTGCCAGATTTTCATCACGCAAAGACTGTCATGATAACATTTAGCGCTCGATGTGAATCACGTAGAGCATTGAGTTTTCGTGAGCGGGTGGTTTAAATTCACGCATCAAGAATCATTAATTATCTTCGTAAGAAGTTGATTTCAGTAATTTTCGTTTTGCACATCGTAGTTTACGTGAAATTTTGGTTAAGAAACATGTATCAGAATGCTGAAATTCGTACCTTGTCTAGTGGTCCTCGCTGTCTTGAATGAGACCTCATATACGGGCATTTGATAACCGCGACTCAGAATACAACGACGATAATACCCTTTCGATCTGCCCTCCTGAGGAAAAACGCCACACGAACATTCGATCGTTGCCCGATTTTTCTTGATAAAATATGGATTTCCGGAAAAAAATTATGGATATTTTTTCTTGAATTTCCTCTTAATTACGGAGTTGAACTAAGAATACGGGTTTTGGGAGTCTATGGTGGTTAGGCATCGCAGATCGGACTCCTCTTCCTGACAATTTCATCTGAGGTACCTTTTTTCAAGGAAAAATATTCTCAATTGAAGAGTGGAAATTCAAAACCTCGTAAGCGACATTAAATGTTGGTAGATTGTTTAATTTTCCTCTCATCTAATAGGGATTCGGTTCGGAGGCTTACACACATCGCGATTCTCGTCCGAAGAATGAAAATAGAATTCAGAGAAAAATCTCAAAAAATTCCATGAAACGAAGTCACTCAGGTTATTTTATGCCGCAACACTTAATGGCTCTTTCCAAATTTTGAACTGCACTACATCTTGCAGTTAGGGACCACGATTTCTGGTCCATACGTAAAAACACGCAAGTGTATGAGGAAACCAATTGCACATACGTTGTTTCTAGACTGAGCCATAAATTGTGGTTCCCAATTGCAAAATTTAGTCCGATTCCCACTCTTCAATAACGTTTCTCCAAAATCCACATTTTACCGGAAGAATTTGGCGACATCCGAAATTCAGTGGCGTGGCGTGCTTTGCGATATATCGACAGATCTGTCATTCTAACCTATGGAAAAGGATCGATAAAGAGGGTGTTCGCAGCGAACACCTTGACAATCGATTCTTTACCATAGCTTCAAATGGAGAAATATCGATAATCGATCATTCACGCCACGCCTCTGAATCCGAATGCACATACGACGGTTTACCTCAGCACGGCGGCGTTTTGTGCGCATGTTTCGAGCCGATATAAACAATTGGCGGCCCCGGTTGTGCGAACTGGTCGGTGGTCCGATGGCGAATCAGGCTGTGAGTCGTTGCATGTGCCAGTCGACCTGCGGCTTGTCTTTAACGAAGAGGATGCGGTCCGCGATGTGCTTCTCCTTCCCGTAGTAGAACTCCATGAAATCCGGGAACACCTTAAACGCCGTGCTGAAAGCAAAAAAGGCCACACTGAAGTCTCGAGTTGAATAACCAATGATAAGGCACTGGGTCAGTTGCGCGTGCCGCACAGTGGATCTAGAGTCCCTTTATACTGAGAGTCAAGACAACACCCCCTCATGGAGTCACAAACGGGAATAAAGATTACAGAAATTGAACGTTTTTCGTAATCTTTAATCGGCCCATTCTCAAATTCCTTTCTCCGTTCCTTCTCTCATTCCGTTTGTTCCTTGCCGAACCCGTAATTCCCTGGTCCATTTCATATTATAATCTTTGCAATCGGTGAAAATGTAATCTTTATTCCCGTTTGTGACATTGTGAAGGCCTAAAATACGGGAACCAATCAGAAATGGAATCACATTGTCTTAACTCTCAGTATAAAGGGACTCTAGGTGGATCGAGTCAATTAGAGAGGTCGGACATGAAATTTTTGATTAAAACAGCAAATTTTGATGTTTATTTCGACACATTTCAAATTTTGAAAATTGCCTCTAGAAAAAAAATTTACGAGGAAACCAATGGAACCACTTTTGGAACCTCAAAGTTTTATATAAACGGAGTTACAAGCGTTTTAAGTTTCCAAATTTTGTCCGACCTCTCCTATTGACTCGGTCCACTGTGTGCCGCACACGGAGAGAAAATAGACCGCGTTTAGCAGAAAGGAACCAAGCCACATCAGCTATTGCCAAATTTGACTGAGCAGTTTAATGTTTTACAAGAGAACGTTAGTGTGGATTCCTCTGAAAGTTTTTAGGAATTTGCTGTGTACCCAGCAGAAAATTTACTGGGATTTGCACAAAAATCCGCACACCCGTTTTCATGTAAAAAATTAAATACCCAATCAGATTTGACAGTAAAGAAACTAAGGAAGAACGCCGTATGAACATTCGAGAGTTGCCAAATTTCCTTAGATAAAATGTTTATTTATGAGGAAAGTCATGAAGATTTTTCCTTGAAATTTTTAAGAACTTTCAGTGATATCGGGAACGAAATTATCTGAAAAATTGGGAGGAAAATATTCACAAGTTCACCAGGAAATTCGTGGTTCATCGAAGGAAATTTGGCAACGCTTGAGGGTTCATACGGCGTTTTTCCTTAGCACGGCAGAACATCTGATGTGGCTTGGTTCCTTTCTGCTTAACACGGTCCGATTATTGCCATTGTATCGGAGTGTCGTGCATGTTGTCTATTCGCTGATTGAAGGGGCTCCTCGTATTGTAATTTATTGCGATACAATTGAAATAAGTTGAATTTTTTCTTGCATTGCCTACCTTTCCCACGCACGAATAGACACATTTGATTGATCTACTGGAAAAGAAGACTCTTGGATCCAGAGTCCAAACTTGTAAAGAAATTCGACAAGAAAAACATTATCTTTAATCATGCACGCGGATTTGAACTTGAATCGAGAGCCCAGCCCCTTAATTTAAGCGTATTTTCTTTTGATTCAAGCCAAAATCCGATTAAAACCTGGGTATTTTTTCTTGTCGAATTTTTCAGAATCCAGCCATTGGATCCGAAAACCTTTTTTCTTAATTTTTTTTTCTTTCTTCAATTTTAATGAAATACCCATTTCAATATTCCTGAGGCTTCGTAGATATGAATCTAACATTAAAACAACATTTCTTTGTCAAACGCGTCGGAAAACCTACTCTACACAGTTCTTTGCGAATATCCCTCGATCACACTCTTGCTTGCACCGAGGTGTTGTCAGATTTCGTTAAAGAGTATAAATTAAACATAGCCTCATACGAAAAATGTGAGTGATTTTGATGGATATCCGACAACCACGGAGGCCTGGGTCTACTCGTGACCTGATGGACGCAAAGAGACGGTTACTGCCGATACCTCTTCGAGAAAACCTGGAATGGGTTGCGTAAGCGAATTACGTAACCGTGCCCTTTTTTAATCTGTGAATTGTATGAATAACTCGCGGAATTCTCGGGAAATCAGTTTATGCTAATATCCTATGTTCCATGGTTTATTACTTCTTTCAGCGACGGCTGCGGTCTGCGACCCGATCCCGCTGATCCCAAGAAAGGTTTCGCGTTCGGTGAAACGACACGTGTCGGAGTTGATGTCCTCTCTGCCCTCATGGGAAGAGGTGTTATTCGCAGGCGCAGACCGCTATGCCACTATCGCATAAAGGCCCCAAATAAGGCCTCGGATAGGTCTCCACGTGTCTTCGAAAAAATGGACCGTCCGGGAGGGAATGGACATTGGCCCTTGATAGCAAAAACGAATCATTTTTTATTTTATTAGAATCGAGGCTAGTTAGCTCAACCCTAGTCTGCCTGAGCCTCTGAACCAACGAGAAAGCCTGAGCGGGGTCAATTTGACCCCAGCTGAAAATCAATTAGTTAGCTATGTTTTTTTCATGTTTTTAGTTAATATCAGTGCACTAACCTCACAGGCCTTAACCATAAAGCATATCTAAGTTTTAAAAAACACGGCGCAGGGTATGCAACCATTTTATCATACACATGTTGCCATGTTGTTCTCAGCATGAGAAAATAAATCATAGGGCTACTAAATACTGAAAACGAAAAAAATCTGAAAAATTTTGCTTGTTTTATAAGCTTCTGAAAAGAATTAAAAAGAGAAAAATGAATACACCTTCAAAGTAAGCTTTTGTGATGCTAAATGGTAAAATATGTTACAGGGATATCTGACCCCGCTCAGGCTTTCTAGGGGTACTCGTGAATTTTTTGATCCCTCATGCACATCCCCCCCCCCTTCAAAATCGTAGATGTTTTTGTAGAGCTTTTTGTGAAGGACAAAAAATTTCGTGCATATCACGAGAAATGGAAAAGAGTTGAAACTCCCGTGGGGTCAATCTGACCCCACTCAGGCAGACTAGGGTTTAATGCCTTTGGTAGTCTTGGGATAGTGTACGTTTCAGTGGCAAAACATAGATGATCGACTATAGATTTTTCCCCAATTGAAGCTATGGTAAAGAATCGATTATTAGGGTGTTCGTCGCGACCAACCTCCGATCCTTTTCCTTGGGTTTAAATAGCAGATCAATCTATGTATCGCGAAGCACGCTACGGCGCTGATACACGAACATTCACGATTTAGTGGGATTCAGGCTTCGGTTTCTTAAGCTAAATATGTTTTGAATTGTTCCATCGGTGTAATTGATATGATTTATTTATTTTAAAGGTTAACGCAGATTTTGCTAAAATATTAGGATTGCTTTTCGTTTTTTGGCAAAAAGTTGATTGACTACGTCTTCTGGAAATGTGCTCCTAGGTGTCGTAGATTAGTTTTTGGCAAAAAATTAAAGTATGAACCCGAAAATCAGCAAAAATTGTTCAATATCTCGATGTTTGTTGACTCCCACACGCCACAGCCACTATAGATTTACTATAACAGAAGCACCAGGTCTTGTCCCTAAATACAGACAACCACTTTTGGTGCGATCGCCCGATGATTGTAGGGGTTGACAGAATGATAATGTACGGGCCTAACAATAAGTCGGCAGGTTAAATGATAGATGGTGGTTGGGTCAATTACGTCATAATGACGTAACTTGATCTGCGAATTCAATTATTCTCGCCGATCGATCTTATTTCGAGGAAAAAAAGAATAAAAGCGATTTAAAAAAATATAAATAAATTCTCTCGTTATTTTTCTGTTCGTATTAAGTAACCAGGGTCAAATCGTTCAAGGCGATACATTTCTCTCGTTTATGGGACTAGATTGATTTGAAGTTATATAAACTGCACTGAGGGCTCTATCCGGTTTGATCATATACCGATAAAACTCTTACCCGGGGTTCTCTTGTAAGTGGCGATTCTTGCAAGGTGGCAACCCTGTTTGCTATCCATTTAAATGTATGTTCAACAATCTATTCTAGGTGATACGTACTGCCTCACCTAGAATCGATATATTTTAAAATCGATAAGTTTTCTGTCAAAGTTCAACTTACAAATGATCCGGCATGGGTAGATCAGTCTCTTTCTGCTGGACTCTCTTGACTAGAGTGTCGTGCTTTTCCTTGAGAGTTTCCCATTCGGTCGGGCTGTCCTGATGGCAAATGTGCGCGCGAACCTTGCAGAAGAAGGGCTCTCTGTCGTACAGATCTTGATACCGTGGACGGGTTAGCTGTTCAATGCTACCCTCAATCCGGACCTAAAATCAAAGGACGGGCTCGTCAAAAGCGTAGGCTGATAAACTTTGATATGAATCAGTGAGAACGATAACACATCAACTCGGTAACTCGAAAATGCTTAAATTTCATGAAAGATAGTCAGTTTTCAAAAAGTTCATTGAAGTTAACGCATCTGTTGCAACTTGGACCTTTAAAGTGTCCTTAAGTACTTGTCTTTCGGCACCAAAGATCTTTTTCTTGTGTCAACTTTTTCAGCTACTGTATAGTTTTGCGTGTGTCTTGATTATTTCCATTTTTTCGAGTTGGTGTGTTTTCGTTCTCACTGATTCATATGGTGTCGAGCATGTTATAGTATGAAAGTTTCAACCGACCCTTTAAGTACTTGTAATAATTTGTTGAGTTGGCTGAGAAATACCACAATGCGCTAATGAAGAATGAGGATTGCGAGGGCTTACAGACACACAGTTAAAGATTTCTAGGGGTATTTCTCGGAGGGTATCGATTCGATCGACATGAATCGATCGAAAAATGAAAACGTGAATCGATCGACATGAATCGATCGACACCGATTCGATCGACAGTTAATTTAAAAACACCCGTGTCGATTCGATCGACATGAATGGATCGCAAAATGAGAACGTGAATCGATCGAAGTGAATCGATTGACACCGATTCCATCGACAACCGTGAATCGATCAACAAACCTGTGAATGTGTGACAAGCCCGTGAAGCAATCGAATTTTGTCGACGGAATCGGTGTCGATGTCGATTGATTCACGTCGATCGATTCACGTTTTCATTTTTCGATCCATTCATGTCGATCGAATCGACACGGGTGTTTTTAAATTAACTGTCGATCGATTCACGTTGTCATTTTTCGATCGATTCATGTCGATCGAATGGACACCGGTTTTTTAATAATTGGTCGGTCGATTCATGCCGATCGATTTACGTTTTCGTTTTTCGATCGATACATGTCGATCGAATCCACACCGTTTTTTCAATAATTTGTCGATCGATTCATGTCGATTGTCATCAGCATCAGCACGGCAGTGAAGCACCCTCATGAAAATGACAAACGGAGCCACCGCAACATGAACCTACAGCAAGGGAAAGGACGCGCGTTGATCACGGCGCAGAGATACAACTATTCGTACTTGATGGATGTCCGTGCTGCATCTGCGAAATTGAAGGCGCGATGGCGCAAGGCGTGAACTCGCAATGCTCCGCTCTTTGATGCCATCGCTCAGATTCGGGAGAAAAGTTTAAAAGAGAAGCCGGATTACGTAACTCCTATCTTTGGTTGTGTTGACACTCGATACTCTTCATTCTTTTCAATTTGATGTCTGATTCTTTTCAGGATATTTTTATAGAACTATATCAAAAGTTCGTATGCACCAGCACCACAACTCTTCCTTCCTCCCTTGGACGTTTCTATGTGGATTGAATGGATAATCCGTGATGAGGCACACTGGTAACCCACTTGAATGAATGACCAAATGAATAATCCCAATGAATAACGATTTTAATAAACAACTTTTATACGGCAACATCGCGGTGAATAGGAAAGTAAGTAGCTAGGTATAGAAATTAGCTGCATTTTCCGGATTCTTATCACCAACTTGACGCTTGACTTTCTCTTTGAATTAGCATTATGTAATCGCTACCGTTTTCATAAAAACTGAGTTTCTTTTCGTTTGGACCGCCCTATCATTTTTTGCAGCTGATGTAAATAGGTGTGATACTGTTATGAAAGTAGGTTGATCTGGTGTTAGAGTTGCTAGATTTTTCTGATAATTAGCATTATTCCAGCAAGACTCAATGTAAAAAATGCTGATTGATCAGCACAATTTAGCTACCGTGTCTGGTGATTTACACGCGCATAACAGGGTGGCAACTCAAACCAGATTTATATCCAGACTCTGAAAGCATAAAAAGTGCGATACATTTTTCGTTTGAACAAAAATTTCGTTGTTAGATTTCTGACTCCTCTAATTTTTTAGTGAAAAACATTCGAGAAACTGAGATTGGAATAATATTGTCTTACCTGCTTGTTTTGAGTTACTCCATCCTTCTTGTAAACCCATAAAAATACAATTGCAACTCGTGGATTTTCTTTCTGAAATCATGAATTAAAGCCAAGATGACATTTTATTTTGAGCAGGAACTAAGATAGTTATTTATCTAACAATTTTAACGCAAAAGCTTTTATTTTTATTGTGTTTCAGTTAATGGATTTTTCCATTTGCTTTGCGTACTGGGTGGAGACGTGTAAGCCAATCTAGTGGTTACGTCATTCAATAGGTATATCGATGTTGAATTTTATTCTCCACTAAAAAGTACGGCAAAACGCATGGTAAAATTGTTGATTTGACTCAGAATATTATCAATCTGGGAACTGGGTCAAAAAAAGACTTTCGATCTAAATTTTTGAAAAATTAATTCCAGTTTGAGTCAAATTTTTACACAGTGTTCATTTTGAAAATAGTTTAAGTCAATTATGTTTGACATAGTGGACTAATTCTTAGCAGGTCATTCTTTTCAAACGGAGTCATTTTATACTTTCAAGTATGTACCTATTAAAATGACGGCACGGTGCGTTTTCTGCAGCCATGCATCAAATTTCTTTACATTCCTACTGGGGGATTAGAATAGCCAAGATTACCTACGTATTTTCTAAGTATTTTTTCATAATTTCACTCAGAATATCGCAGCAAAAAACTCATAGCATTTCTTTTGCAGTTACTTTAAAACTTTGCGAATCTAGAAAACGCATGAAAACTTTATCGGTTACAAAATAATGAACTAGATTGTTAGTGAAAACAATTTTTCATACCTCCCTTGGTCTCTGTATTGCTACATAAAATCTTGCTCCTAATCGTGGATAAATACTATTGAGTCATTCTTATTTTGTGCTAAGAATTTCCTTAGGATTCTACGTGGATGTCCCAACTGGGACTAAGAGTTTATCGAGGGTAAAGTTATTATACAGTTTTCTCTCATAATTTTATACATAATACTTACAATTTCTCGAACTTTTCTGCTTCTGTTGTCTGTCATGATGACAATTCCATCTTCTTCTATTCTCCTTAATAACAAACTTCTTGAACTAACTTTACCGTCTCTGTAAACAAAAAAATTCGACTGGACGTTAAAATCCCATCAAAATTTTCTAAAAAGAAAAATTTCATCAGGAACTATCCCAACTAGAGTAATCATGCACCTCCAAAGAAAAGGGGGCTTGAAAATTGATCTATACCATAAATAATACGCCTCTTTTTACATAGACCTCAGAGTCGTAAAATTTCCTGATCCTTATTTACCACGCATAAACTGATGATCTCTCTACATATTATAAGGAGGCAAGGCTTTCCCGAAGAATTTACATTACTCCTTCTTCATCAACGACATTTGAAATGACTGAAAAAGATAGGGAATAAAAAGTATTACCAGTATCAAAATCGATAGGTTGGAGTTTGACACAATGGAGCTGTTACATGTATCATGGATTTGCGTTTTAAGTAGGTAATTATCGCAAATAAAATTTCGCAAGAATCGCGATGGTACCACTGGTTTTCTCTGAAATCAACTTCCAAGCTCAAAAAAAGCTCTCAAGTTCGGACTGTGATAGTGGGCATAGAGATATGCCATGCAGCCCGCACAGATAGGGAAAAAATACATCAGCAGAGTTGCCGTGGTGCCATCTTTGGAGTCCCCAGAAAAAGTGACAACTCTGCTGACGTAATGTGTAAAAGTTAGGTTTATGTCCCTCTTTACGTAAACCGCTCATCCTCTTTGCTAAACCTGGTTTATCGCTGGGGAAATGCACTCAACCGCGCACAGTTTTGGAGAGAATTTGATGTGTGTCATCGGTGTTGCTTCATTGTTAAATGAAGGCGAAAGCAGACTGCGTTCCGCGAACGAAACCAGCATTACTGACTTATTTAGGTACACGGACTTTATGTCCACTTTTTTTACGTCCACAATTTTTACGTCCACAGTTCTTAAGCCCACACTATTGTTAAGTCCATTACTTAAACGTCCACTGAGTAAAGTCCACTAAAATCAAATTCAAGCGTTATATTATAGCCCGTGTGTAAAATTATATTGACAATATCGAAATGAGAAAATTGAGAGAGAATGAGGTGTTGTTATTGTAACTCATATTTTAAATGAAATGTTAATTTCTTCTTTTGATTCATCTTTTCAAGTTGTCTTTGGTAAATACTTGGTTTCATTTTTATCCTTGAAATTTCCTATATAAAATATACCTTAAATGTACATTTTTTTTAAATGAAATTGATTACTTCATTTTAAAAACATTTTTAAAACGTGGTAAATATTTGTAAAACCTTTTCCAAGCAATGGCATAGATATGAATCTCAATGAGCCGTAGTTGTGATGAAAGGAACTATACAAAATTAATAAAAGAGGAAAAAAACTAGAAGCACGCAATTTTTTGTTTTTAACTGAATTGTACATCGACCTTCTTGAGTCAAATACGTCCAATTTTGAGCCTTTAGTTGCGCTTACACCACGCTGCAGCACAGTAAAAGCCCAAAACATAAAAGAATAAATTTGAATGCTTTGGAAATCATTTTTGACCCGGAGCCACTATTATATTTACAAAAAACACATTATATTTTCCAGTAAATGTTTCTTTTTCATCAGTTTAAAGGGAATAATCAATGCAGAGAGTGCAAATATTTCAAAATCATGAGTTGGAAAACGCTGACTCCGCGAGTTTAAATATTAGAGCCTAACACAGAGCGGAGCGGCGTGTTAGCAGCGCAGAACGCGCACTGACGCCTACAAACCTAACGAGATACTTCACGCATTGCGCAGCGCTTGAAGTATCCCGTTAGGTTTGTAGGCGCCTATGCGCGTGTCACCTGGTTGCCTGCCGCGCCGCAACGCTATGAGTAACTATTTCGCGTCAGAGGCGTTGCGCAGTATCTTACAAGATTGAAGGCGAACGAAATAACTAGTTAAGGAGGACTTTCAATTTTGACTGCATCTGTTACTGAAAAATGTTTAATTTGTCATTAGAGCGTTTCCTAGGCTCCCGCTTTGGTTTTCATCTTAACATATCCGTACAGTATACACATGAACATATGTTTTTATCTGCTCCTAGAGTCTGTTCTCTTTCATGACTTGATTCATGAATGAAATGTTTTTAAGAATGAAGGTAGTAGTAGTAGTATGCATTTATTTTTGAGGTGGTTCCTTTCTTTTAAACGGGAATAAAAAGATGTGGACATAACATGCCCACAATTTGGACAATTTTAGACATATTAATGGTTGGACATTAAATCATGTGGACTTCATAAAGACTCGACTTAACGTTTAGTGGACATAAATAGCGGTGGACATTTATCTAATGGACGAAAGGTAGGTGGACATAAAGTCCTGGAAGCCTTATTTAAGAGACTGAATATCGTTCATCAATTTCCTTTTGCATACACGTGTCGCAGGCAAAATGGTCAAATGCCTAGGCAAATATCCAAATATTGTTACTTGTTGTTAGATTTAAATCCTGATTTTAGACAAAATAATTCGTTATTTTTCGAATATTAAAAATTTCGTTGACTGTCAAAATTTGTCAATCTGCCTGGACTTTTGATAAAATTCCCGATTTGACTAATTGCCTGCGACGTACGTGCTTTCAGTATTATTTCTGCATATATGTTGCAGTATTATTTCTGCATCTATGTTATGGTATATGGATATGGCTTACTGTGTGGCCGTTGAGAGGACAAGTGCCTCAGGAAGGAGACAAGAGCAAGTTTTGGCCTCCTGCAACCAGTCTCTGAAGAGCTGCAGCGGGTCGTTGTGGTCGAAGTCGATGTAGGCAAGTCCGGACTCATCAGCGTAACAGATCCCGTTCTCAAGCTTATTTCCATTCTCAAGCTTATTCCCGTTCATGCCATTTTCGCTCACTCCGTTCCCATTGCTTACACCGTTCACGGGTTTTGCCTGCAAAATCAATCAAAAATTACAATTATTAATCGAATAGCTAGTAATGCTAGTATGAAAGAAACACTAAGAATCGCAGATATCTAATCTGTCGTGCTAAAGAAGAACGCCGTATGAACTTTCGTCGGTTGCCAAATTTCCTTTGATCAAATACGAATTTTCAGGAAAACTTGTGAAAATTTTCCGTTCAATTTTTCAGAGAATTTTCTTCGTCTTAAGATTCATACCATCTGATCATTTCAAGAGTAAATGGACCGCCTTCAATAGAAAAGAACCAAGCCACATCAGCTATTGCCAAATTTAACTGGGCAGTTAAATTTTTTACGAGAGAACGTTCGTGCGGATCTCTCTGAAAATTTTAAGGAATTTGCTTCGTATTATGAAGAAAAGTCACTGAAATTTCCACGAAAATCCGCAAAATCGTTTTCAGGTAAAACATTGAATTGCCCAGTTAAATTTAGCAATAGCTGATGTGGCTTGGTTCCTTTCTGTTTAACGCGGTCCAAATATTCGTAGTTTTCCTAAAAAATAAACATTTTATTAATTGGACGATATTTGGCAACTCTCGAATGTCCATATGGCATTTTTCCTTAGCATACAATACCCAAGTAGTGGTGATCACGATAAGTTGTGATTTGATCGGAGAATGTTCCGCGATTTTTTCGAAGTCGATTGATTGCAATGTTATCGGATAAAAAATTGCGTTTTCTTCTGCGATAAACTGCGATTTTATCGCATTTTGCAATGAAATCGCGATTTAATCCAAAGTGATCCATCCCAATATTATAGAACAAAAGATCGTGATAAATTAAGATAAAATTTCGATTATATTGAACGCGATTAAATGCAGATATTATTGCGACAAGGTCGCAGGATAATCGCTCAGATGTTGATGATCCTATACAGGGATTTAATCGCCAAAAAATCGTAAAAATATCGCGACTTAATTTCAAAATATCGCAATATTTCCGTTGAGGAATGCTACCTGGGAAGTAAAGGGGCCTAATGAGCTCATAGGGCTCTGCTCTAAGTTTTCTATTTTCCACGTGGGGATCCAGATTAAACTGAGCACCTGCTCAACCACAAACCTTTATACTGAACGCCACCCTTTAGCCCCGGGGGAATATTTTTATGACATAAGGAGACTATCCTAACCTAGAAGATCTGAACAGTGGCATTCCGAGGCACTTGTTTGTCACTAGGGACGATAACAGTATACCTATCACTTTGATTGATGGCTCCAATCTGAGACAGGTGAGCGACAGCCAACTCGATCTCGATCAGTCGTTGTTGCAGCTGATAATTATGGAGCTGCCGACTCGGTAACCGAGGGGCTCGTTCTTAGTACGTTGTGCAGAAAAGAAATCATCCAAGTGACTAACTAATCAGCCACAAGTTGTGCTAGAGCTTAGGAAGAATGTCTTATTCGTATTGCAATGTTGACAAATTGGGCCCATAAAATGTTTGTGATGAAGTCGCACGGTGGATCGAGCCAATAGGAGGAGTCTGACAAAATTTGGAAACTTTAAACGCTCTGGTATCATTGGTTTTCTCGTGAAATTCTCGTCTTAATGCACCCCTTCAAATTAAAAATGGGACAAAATAAATATCAAAATTTGCAGTTTTGGTCAAAAATTTCATGTCCGACCTCTTTAATTGACTCGATCCACTGTGAGTCGGGTGAAAGAGGAAGATGTATCGCGATTTTGAGAACACTGCCTTCAGTAAATTCCGAGACCAGTAACCCCGGAGCTTACGTAAGCACCCCTCTCAGAACAGGTGGAGCGAGAAAGTATACAAAAAATGAAAATTATGTATATTTTTCGATGCAATGAATATATTCAGCTATTTTGCCGGCTTTTCCGTAAATTTGTAAATAAATCGAATGGGAGTTGGTGCAGGTTTAGGCCAGTCTTACGTAATTCAAAAAGCGTGGGAAGTTACCTTACAGATGAAGGTATCTTGCCTTGGGTCAAGAGGTCAGTCAAAATTCTTTACTTAATTTAATCGGTCGGCCCCGAAATTAAATTCTAAATATAATCTCTGGAAAGTTGAAGGAGAAAAATTTCCAAATTTTGTAAAAAATTGGCAATTTATTAGAAGAACTCGCTGGCTGCGTTTGTTTGGCGTTTTTCCTTAGCATGGCAGTGTTCCACCGCATCGTGATAACTATGGAGGCTGTTTATTGAGTTGGCACTGGGATTCTTGAACCATTCATTTTCGCACGTGGCGCTCTGTACATTCATCCGCTGATTCCCCATTATAATTCTACTTTAAAATATTGAAAACCTGCTACTCTGTGAGCGCTATTACGCAAGAAGGCCTCTGGAAACGGAAAACGGGCCCCAAGAATATAATTTGTCCCCACGCGACTTGGATAGTAGCCTAATGTTGCATTCTTAATCAGATGGATTTCCGTGGGAAAAGCACTGAAAAAAAATTCTCGGCTTTTTACCAAGGTCCGTTGGTACCTTAACCATCTCACTTTTTTTTACCAATTATTGGTAATTTAACCAAGACAGACTGGTAAGCTTACCTAAAAACCGGTATTTTTACTGTTTTTCTCAGGTAAGAATACCACTTTTATTGGTAATCAATTCTCGGTAACTTTGCTATTTTATCTCGGTAATTCTACCACAGTCGATAAAAAATATTGGTATATACCAAGGTCCAGTAAAATTACCGAGAAAGTTCAATAAATTTACCGAGATTTCTCGGTAAAATTACCAATTCCGTAAATGGTACTTTTAAAGAAAAAACTGGGATCAAATAGAACCCTAAATTCTTGGCAATTTTGCCCTTTTCTTGGTGAATACACCAAGATTTTTTTTTTTTTCAGTGAGGATTCTACAATTAGTTGACGCCGTTCAGAAAGGTGAATTACATGCGATTCGGTCAAAGTCGGATTTTGGTTTTGGATGAACTATACCCTCAAACATCTGAGATAAAAATTTGCAAGCGATTAGGGTCGTTTTTTATAGATGGAGGGATTGAAAACATACGAGTATTTAAATTCACCAATTTTGAGCCGCGAACAAGGAAAGTTAAAATTTCAAAAAGTTCTTCTTTCAAATTACTCTTTACATAAACCTAGCGCAGCCTCTCCGGTTTGGATCGTCATTTTGGAGCGTATTTTGTCGCAAAATGTGCGTAAATCACTCCTTGAAAAATTTGAACCAATTCTGATTTTTCCGGTGGGTCGGTAGAACCAGTTGATCGGTCCCGCTTCCTCAGTGCTGAATTCTCTTTACCCGTGTATGGTGAAACTTGAATTCATAAAAAAATTTCGGGAAAACAAATGAGGAATGAGGGGTGCCTTCTCCCCAGCTCAGAAGTTCTTTTAACCTAAACACAATTTTCGCTTCAGCATTACTGCGAAGGCTTTGACAGGATAATACATATCCGAATGTACTCTGAAAAATTGGGTTGTCAACGAAAAATGGGTCCATCACAAAACTTTGCAATGTTCCCTATTAATTCCATAAGCAAACGAACTTTCATGACTGCAACTACGATTTTGCGTCGAAAACCGTTCATCTACAAGCACGGACAAACAAAACAACCAACAATATCTAGGTGTCACATCTCTCCGAGGCCAGTTAAGAACCAACAAATAGACGCCCTCTAAGAGTCAAAGACTTTCATTCAATCATTTATCTTAAGATAAAATTTCGCAGGAAACACAACAGTACCAAGAATTCTGTCGAAAGAATATTCCCGAACTCGCTAAAAACTTTCGAATTTAAGGCCACAGGGACATGAAAGTTACGGGAGGACCTTCAAGTAAAGGAAAATCAAAGCAATTTTTTAAGAGAATAGGAGGAAATTACTGACTTATCCTTGAAAATTAGGAAAAAAATTGCAATGAGAACACATTTTCAAATTTTGTATTATACAGGAGACTCTAGATGATCCGCGATGATGGGAGTCGTATCCACCGCGGGAAATAGAAACTCGTGGATAATCGAAAATCGCGGATAAACCGAATGCTAAGCTATTTGGTCTGGAATAATGATCATGAAGGCTCTGTTAAAACACCCGTCAGAGATTATACTGAAATTTAATGATCAGTTAAGAATGAATAATGTTTACCTTAAAATAAATTATTTTGGCAAACATCGTAGCTGGAGGAAATTTTTATACAAAAGTTTGCGCCAAAGCATTGCAACGCTTTTGGGCTGCGACCTTTTCCATGCGTTCAAAGATAATTACTCTTAAAGTTGATTAACCCCCAAATTTCCCTCCACCCCATGAAAAAAGCCCTTACTGAAAAAAACGCGGATGGTCCGAACTCGACTATACATGTAGTAAAATGTACAACGAGATGATTCTTCTCTTTTAAAAAAGGAATTTCTACCGTAAAGGATTATCAAAGAATGCTCAAATGACGCAAACTTCTACGAACGATAAAACAGCTTCTTTGCACGCAACTTTGTAGATTTGAATGGAGCCACATAATGCATTGAGATTAAATGCGTGCTTGTGCCAGCTTGTTAGCTCTCAGCTGTTGACCGATGTTAATTATTACAACGGTCTAGCTCTGCCAGACAGTGAAGATCCTCGACTTTGAATCCACGAACTCGTTTTCCTGTCCCATATCCCTACTCCCCACTTGTAATTATCAGTGCTCGAGTATAGTAATTGTGATTCAAACGAACGTAAATCACTCCATTGACATTTTTTACTCTCGTAAAATTATGTAATGGTTTTGGCATCCAAGAATTGGGTCAGTCGCGCGTGTAATGCGGCTGGTCGCTGGGGATGAAATTGGCAAGTCTTAGAGAATAAACTTGTAAATAAATGAGCAATTTTCCTGTTGTATCTTCCACAAAATTTCAACCATTCTTTGTGCAAACAACGTGAAAGCTTCGCAACGCTGCTCAGAATGGGCAGTTTTTTGTTAAAATTTCCTAATTTTCAATTAAAGGGTTTGGAGGACATGGCGCATAAGTGCAGTTTTTGAAAAATAGAGATATTAATGATTTCAAGTGAAACTGATC